GCCTGTAGTCCCAGCTACTTGGAAGACTGAGGCAAGAGAATTGCTTAAGCCCAAGATTTTGAGGTTGCTGTGAGCTGTGACACCACAGCACTTTTTCGTGGGTGACATAGTGAGACTCTGTTTCAAAAAAAAGAAAAAAAATTGTCTTACTAATGGAATGGTACATTGATGTAATAGCTAAAATAGAGATGTGACTCTTAATGTTTCATAAAGTAGTCCCAATCCTGCCAGCTGTCATCATAGTTATACAGTTTATATAGTTGCCTTTCTGTTAATTTAAGTTTAACAAATTACATTGTTATTTACTATTTTATTATTATTATTATTTGAGACAGAATCTCACTTTGTCACCCTTGGTAGAGTACCTTGGCATCATAGCTCACAGCAACCTCAAACTCTTGGGCTTAAGCGATTTTCTTGCCTCAGACTCCTGAGTAGCTGGTATTATAGGTGAGTGCCACGATGCCTGGCTTTTTTTTTTAGAGACAAGGTCTCACTCTGGCTCAGATTGGTCTCGAACCTGTGAGCTCAGGCAATCCACTCGCCTCGTCCTCCCAGAGTGCTAGGATTACAGGTGTGAGCCACTGTGCCTGCTCATTATTTACTATTTTAAAAAAATGGTTTTACTGAAATCAGTTAGTTCATAAGACCAAAAAGGACCCAAATACATCTTTCTCTGTAATGGATGTGAGAAGTATTGTAAGATGTTTAGTTTCAAAAAAAGAAAGGAAGGGAGGGAGGGGATACATACTTTGTGTATAGAAGTGCCAAAATGATATTCAAAGCCTTAACTTTGCAAAATGAAAAAGAATATACTCCCCCAAAGAAGAGCTCTAGTTCCTTAGGCTAGAGGAAACATGTTCTTGAGAAACTGGTGCTGGGGCCCTGTGGGGAGCAGGATATAGTCATGGAGACTATAAAAGGAGACTGAGACACAGCAGCAAGAGGCGTGGAGGGAATAGCTGGACAATGAGTTTTTGAGGAAGAGTTTTCAGAAGGAGGAATGTTTGTCAAGTGTTTTGAAGGAACAAAAACAATGAGAACTGGAGAAAGTCATTGATTTAGTAGCATAGTAGGGTTATGGATGACATTAGCAAGAGCAATTTTGATGGAGTATTAAGGGACTAAAGCTAGAAAGAATGGGTTCAGAGAGGAGTCTGAAAAAGCTGGCTTGAAGAAGGAGGAGAAAAAGGTTGGTAGCCAGAGGGAGATAGAGAGTTGAGGTAAAAAATATTTTTATTTGGCTCGGCACCTATAGCTTAGTGGCTAGAGTGCCAGCCACATACACCAAACCCAGCCCAGGCCTGCCAAACACAATGATAAGTACAACCAAAAAAAAAAAAATATATATATATATGCGTGTGTGTGTGTGTGTGTGTACTGGCGTTGTGGCGGTGGCTGTAGTCCCAGCTACTTGGGAAGCTGAGGCAAGAGAATCACTTAAGCCCAAGAGTGTGGGGTTGCTGTGAGCTGTGACACCATGGCACTCTACCAAGGGCAGCATAGTAAGACTCTGTCTCAAAAAACTAAAAATTTTTTTTTTATTTTTTAATAGAAGAGACTTAAGCCCAGTTAAAGTTGTAGGGAGGATAATTAAGAGGGGGTAATTGGATTATATAAGAGAGAAAAAGGCTAATCATTGATTTGTAGTTCCTGAGATGGCAAGGGATAATAGAATCTAAAGGCAGAGGCTTAGCCTTAGAAAATGGAGAGAAATCTCCTCCATAGGAACTAGAAGGAGCACATAGATGCAGATGTAAGTTGTATGATATTTATTTTCTCCATGAAGTAGGATATGTATTATCTGCTGGCTAAGGGGGAGGCTGAGGTGGATTAGGATGCAGAGTGGAAGAGGGAGTCTGAGGGCCCAGAAGGATGAGGACCTGTTTTAAGTTGTTGTTCATGAATTTTTTTTTTTTTAAGACAGAGTTTCACTTTATTGCCCTCAGTAGAGGGCTGTGGCATCACAGCTCAGAGCAACATCCAGCTCTTGGGCATAGGCGATTCTCTTGCCTCCGCCTCCCAAGTAGCTGGGACTACAGGCACCTGTCACAACACCCGGCTCTTTTTTGTTGCAGTTTGGCCAGGGCTGGGTTTGAACCCACCACCCTCAATA